GTAATGAAGTGGTTTGTCGATGCGTCTTTTGCGGTTCACCCTGACTTCAAGAGTCACACAGGAGGAGTGATGACCATGGGTGGTGGAGCTATGCAGGCTATGTCCAAGAAACAGAAGCTAAACAGCCACAGCAGTACACATGCGGAACTAATCGGAGTTGATGATGCGATCACACAAGTGTTGTGGACACGCATGTTCATGGAAGAACAAGGTTATCCGATTGAGAAGAATATCTTGTATCAAGACAATATGAGCTCTATTCTCCTAAAGAACGGGAGTTCAAGTGCAGGGAAGAGAAGCCGCGCATTGAACATCCGTTATTTCTTTGTCACTGATCAGGTTGAGAAAGGAAATCTTACGATCGAACACATGCCAACCGATGACATGTGGGGGGATTATATGACGAAACCTTTGCAAGGGGAAAAGTTCCGCAAGTTTCGAGCATTAATCCAAGGGGATCAGCAAGATTAGATATGACCGTCGTCGGTTATATCTACACGTTACATATTAAATGAAGAAAGGATTCGTTATCGCAACTGGAGTCGTCAAAACGACAGGAGTGTGCTGGTGAAATGGGATCTTAATAGATAAAAGAACAGTCGAACATGTCGGACAGTGAAGTCCGACATTCGTGATATCGAACACGGACGGGAGTACGGTTCGAGTGCGTACAGAGATGGATAAGTATTGAAGGTAGATCTAGATCTGTGACTAGTTTGTGAAGAACATGTGCGTATGTGCTTTATACGCCGCGACAGCTGGTGAGAGCTGACGCAGATGGCTTCCGGAAGAGATTTTTTGTACCTGCTTGTGGAGATCATTGTTGATCGACTTCTGGCAAGAATAGCAGTAGAATAAGATCTAATAGGAAGTGGTGAGACTGTTCATCCGCAGGTAGAAGCCCAGCATCACTGGCACCTGTTCCTATTGTAGGCAATCCATAGCCGACGTAGATTCGAGCTCAGTATACTCCAGAGGTAGCTAGAGCGTTGAGGCTCTCATTACAGTTACGGAGTTGATTATCTGACATAGTCGTTGAGCAATCAAGATCACAGTTCAACGTGAAATGAAATCAGTTTTAGACAATCTTTCTCAGGGGAAGCAACAAGAGTACTTGGATCAACTTGAAAGATCCCAAAAGCGTAGTGATAACTAGTCTAGGAGCCCCATCTCGGACTGTTTTTCTTTCTAACAGAATTACTCTCGCATGGTATTTACAATTGGATTTGACCAACAATAGTTATGGCAACAAAAAAACAAGAAGAATACTAAGGATATATTGGTTGATGTATGGAAAGCATTGGGAAGATAATGGAAGGAGCCTTTCCTTCACCGTGCCGGTACTCATCACAAGTTTGACCATTGAAATGGGCAGCTTGTTGTTTTCCAAATTATGTCTGAACTTTTTTGCGTAACCCGTGGTACGTTTTCTACTTGCTAACGGACATAATTGGGTTTAAACTCGTGCTGTACCGGTCAAAAATTGGCACTGCTGGCTTTCAGTTTGAAATGCTGTAGCAGTACGAGAAGAATCGAAATCAGCATTGCATTAGGAACTTGTGTTTCGAACGACATCCGAAATCATGTCAAGCGAAGCGGACTATATCCCTAAAAACATTCTTTTGACAGGAGGAGCAGGTATGCTACCGTGTTGTCGAGTGAAATTGCTGACCATCTTTCATTTCGTTGGTTTTGTCTTCGTTATTGTTTTCTCATATCGGTTTTTACTCTGTGCCGTCCCCTCTTTCCTTTCTCGATCACGAACAGGTTTCATTGCTTCCCATGTCGCCATTCTTCTCTGCAAGAAGTATCCCAACTACAACATTGTCGTTTATGATAGATTGGACTATTGCGCATGTTTGGAGAACCTCTCTGAGCTCAATGATTTGCCCAATTTCAAGTTCATCAAGGGTGACATTGCGACAGCTGATTTGGTTGCCTACGTCCTGAGAGAAGAGGAAATTGACACTATCCTTCACTTTGCAGCCCAAACCCATGTTGACAATTCTTTTGGAAACTCCTTCGCCTTTACCCATTCCAATATTTATGGTACTCACGTCCTTTTGGAAAGTGCCAAGGCTTGCAAGACCATCAAGCGATTCGTTCACGTTTCCACCGATGAGGTCTATGGAGAGGGAGAGGATTTCGAAACCGATCCCATGTCGGAAGAGCACGTCTTGGAACCAACCAACCCATACGCTGCCACCAAGGCTGGAGCAGAATTCTTGGTCAAGTCCTACTACCGCAGTTTCAAGCTTCCATGTCTGATTACCAGAGGAAACAACGTCTACGGCCCTCATCAGTTCCCTGAGAAGCTCATTCCTAAGTTTACCAATCAGCTCATGAAGGGTATGAAGCTAACCTTGCATGGGGACGGAACCAACACCCGAAACTTTTTGTACGTGACTGATGTCGCCAACGCATTCGACGTCATTCTGCACAAGGGAGAGCCTGGCCACGTTTACAATATTGGCGGGGACAACGAAGTTGCGAATGTCCAGGTTGCAAAGGATCTTTTGAAGATCTTTGGTCTAGAGAAGGAAGAGGATTGGCTTACATTCGTGCCAGACCGAAAGTTCAACGATTTGCGATACACAATTAACTCAAGCAAGCTCCACGCTCTTGGATGGAAGGAAAAAATGACTTGGGAAGAAGGCCTAAAGACAACTGTTGAGTGGTACAAGAAGTACACAAGCCGATATGGAAACATCGACGATGCGTTGATAGCTCACCCAAGAATGCTCAACACCTCTTCCTCCATTGATGAAAATATCATGATGGGCGAATCGAAGTAAACCATTCTTCAGTTTTCGGTTAATTTTTTTAAAAAGAAAGCATGCAACAGATTGGCAAACATAAGATGTAATTTTGCTTCTGCCCATTTTCCTCTTCATCCTGTCTTCCAGAGCAGGAGGAGCAATTCGTTTGATTTGATTGAATCATCCTTAAAGAATTAAAATCTTAACACGAACCCACCTGTGTTTGGAATGAAAAGGCTAGCACCATGTCTCTTCTTTATTGCGTGCTGAATCTTTGTCGTGAGGCTGCATCGATTGCCAGCGTCCGAAACAAGAGGAAATCTGAGAAACGACGTTGGTTAAGTGATCCCACTTTTGAAGAAAGTAGTAGTTACTGGTAGTGCCAAAACTATGTAGAAACCAACCCAAACAGTGGACAGGTGGCTAAACAACATGCTGTTGCACCTAGAGGAGACATCGGGTGTCGAGTAGGATTGTAGCATCTCTGGAATTATTCATCGTTGGAATCAAGGAGATTGAACTGTGCAAAACGTTGAAATGAGCTTTTGCTTTTGTACACAGTGTCTCCTTCAGAGGATGATGATATCAGGATGAGTGACATTATTGATCAAGGTACAGCGGCTCGCTGGGCACTTGGAAAAAGAGTTTCAGAAACATATCGAATGGTCTACTGTTGATCTCAGGTGTTATATTTCATATGAACAAGTGCTCATGTCAAAGAAACCCTCCCTCCACAAGACCAATGGCTGGATCTGTTCCGCCGCCATTGCATTGGAGACAATCCGATCTAAGTTCGAATTTTGTCCAAGCACATCGTTTTTCCAAGCACATCGTTTTTGCGCATTGGATATGCTTAGTGTTGCCAATTGCGAAAAGGACAAGCACAAAAAGCGCATGTTTCGTCGCTTCTAATAAAAAGAATATGATCTGGGAAGCATACCCAACGAAAGATGCGTCTAGTGTAACGATTCCCAGAGCTGAAGTTCTAAATTGGAAATAAAAGGCCACATGCAATTCCAGCGCTTAGTTTGATCTGATGGTGACACGAAGGCGAATCTTTCGTCTAGCCATCAAATCCGGAATTGGGCTTCTCGAATCAGACAGCCTGCAAGCTCGGTTGCCATCAATGAAGAGCAAAAGCAAGTAAATATTGCAGACGTTCTGGGAACGAAGTATCAACTGTTCACTGATAGACACAAGTTCTCAGACGGAGGTCAGTGAAACGTTTGTACCATCTCATGTGATTTTTCCTATTTCGAGATTTAATTTCATCCTTCAACGCGTAGCTCAACGAGAGGTGATGTCATTTGACAAAGTAGAATATTTCCATCGAGGAGGGGCAAAACTGGATAGAGAATCAACCGCGAATCTCGAATCAACCACAGGGAGGTGAAGAGAATGCTGCTGTACAAGACGATAGAGCTGTTCCGTTGGCGGTACGAATTAACCGATCGGGGGTCAGATATCCCCATATGGGGATATCCCCCCCAAAGTGCAACTTCGAGTGAGTGCTATCAGGCAGGCTGGAAAATAGAAAATCGTAGATCGGAGAATGGTAGAGAAGTGACATGAGAAACAGACACGGATGTACCAGTAAATTGTGGTGACTTTAGAGAAACAATGGCACAACCGATAGCCGGAGGTGTAAACGCCCGTTCGTGTGTGAGAAATGACAATGTGGAAAGAAAAAAAGTGCCGTAGCAAAGACAGCTCTGTAGGTGGGTAATGGAACCAGATCTGTTGCTGGCCTGTTGTTTTGTTGGCGGTACCTGCGTATTGGTACCGCAAACATTAAATGCATGACTTGTATTATATACGTTGAGGTGTAGATCCTTTGGTGTCCGTTGTATTGACATGATTTATGCGCAGGAGCAAATATTATTGTCTTTTTAAACATATTGAATATATGGTCGTCTGGAGAAACGCATGTAAGAAATCTGGCAGTTGCAATGTGTGGAGTTGCCACTGCTGATTATTACTTTTGGCATTTGTACGAAACCTATAAGATGCTCAGCAATGATATCAGGTGCCCAAAACCAAGCTGATGTGGATGATCGTGTTACGTTGGGGGTCATAATACAAAGAACATATATATAACTGAATCATTAATTTGTATTTATGCTACTTCTAGAGTATCCAACTGCCGGTGTAATACGGCTGTAGAGGCCAGGAACTAGGTTGCTTTTGGTCAACAAAGTTTGAACCACGTGGAGGCGTTCAATAGAGGAAGGTTGCTCGCAAGTCGAAAGTGTCAAGGGACGATCGGCTCTCCCACGCGAGGTGGGGTGAGAAAATGTATCTGTTAGACTGGGGTACGTGTGGCTTGTGATGTACCGGTACCAGAATCACTTTGGTAAATATGTAGACAAGTAAGTCAGGGGGCTGCTGGGCGAGGAGTAGGGTGGGTCAGTTCCCACATCAATCGTC